CAAAGTGTTTACAATCCTAACTTAGCCAAGAATCAAACCGATATCAGAAGCAGCATAGCTCCTATACCAAACCAAGTGAAAACCGCATCACAAGAGCTGATCCAATCCACCGCAACTACAATGGCATGCGGTAATCTATCTCAACCTCTTTGGTTTCGATCTCTTGTTAGCTTTAAACCCGTAATTGTACAGATTCTAACTTGAAGATGTCTTTCTTTGTTACAGAACTTCCTATCGCAAGACGAGCTTCGCTACATCGGTTCTTGGAGAAGAGAAAGGATAGAGTTACATCAAAGGCACCATACCAGTTATCCGATCCAGCCAAAGCGTCTTCAAAGCCTCAAACCGGAGACAACAAGACTTCATGGCTCGGTTTTGCAGCTCAAAGATGAAGGTTCTCGTTAGGCCCCCAACCTCAAACCGTTACCGGGAAATTCTTTTGACGATGCATCAAATACAAGATTATTAAAAAAGCTTTTATGTTCATGTTTGCTTAATCATATTTTACAAGTATTCAATGATTAGGAAACTTCATATATTTTGTATGTAGCTAGTAGTATTCTTCTTAGTGTCTATCTTTAGTAGGTTGTTCTTTCACTAGATATATATTGTCTAATGTCTAATCTCTTTCCTCTTGTGTTATCTCCAAATTAGCTTCCTATGTTGTTGCTGATTTTGTAAGAACAACCTCAAACAAAAAAACTCCAAATCAAGTCATATATAAAATATGGTGTTTAATTCTAAAACAATTATGATTCTCTAACATTTAGTCTTTTCCTTAGTGGTTTGTCGTGTCTTGAAGGGAAAATTCCTGAAAATATCCATATTTCATTTAATTTGCTGAAAATACATAAATTTTTTTAGCTATCCGATTAATACACCAACTATTTGAAATTATCTTTTATATACTCCAATTTTCAAAATTTGTTGGTTGTACTACATCGACATTGACGACATTAACCAGACTAACAGAATTTAATGTACGCTGTTAAATTGTTAATTAACACGTGTTTGTTACCGTAACACAACTCGATTTTGCCCTTACATGTTTTTCTCCAAATCGATTTCTTAAGAACCCTAAAATCCTAAATTGATTTTAGATTTCAGTTTTTCTTTCTCTTCTCTATTAAACATTGATACAAGCTCTCTTTCTCTCTCTGAAGATGCAACGAAGTCAAAGTTCATGCTTAGATCTGAGTTCAATCATCCGGAAAACCAGAAGAAACAAAAAAGAGACAAATCGATTTCAAACTTCATCTTCTCCGATTTCTCTCTCACGTCTTTGCTAGTTGTTTGTTCTCCTTTCAGATTGTAAAATCCATGTTCAAACCCTCGAATCTCAAATCGATTTTTGGTGAAGAATGGAAAATGTTG